ACAATTCGAAATACGATTCGGCTTGAAATAACCCTCAAAGATTTGATAAGCTGTAAAAAACAAAACAGATGCTCAGAATATAATGCTGGATCCTACATGACATGTCGGCTGGGGAAGCCTCGTGATGGTGCTTTTTTTTTTTCTTTTCAAGAACTTTGTTACCCAGTTTTACTGAGTTACATGGTAGCAGGCAGTAATATCTAACCTGACCTGTAATTGTAAAAACGTGCCATTATTTCTTTTAAACAGAGTATTATAAAGAAAAGATTTATCCTATTCTGAACTATATTGCTTACAAAATGAAAATAATTCATCTTGAAGCATTAAACTTTCATCTTGAAGCATTAAACTTTCATCTTGAAGCATTAAATTTTCGTCTTAAAGCATTAACTTTCATCTTCGAGCATTAAATTTTTACCTTGAAGCATTAAATTTTCATCTTGAAGCATTAAATTTTCATCTTAAAAAGCATTAAATTTTTAACAAAAATATTCTTACTTGATGATTACCAATTTACAATCAGAGGTTGACACCTTTTTCTGTTTCAACCTTTTTTTTAAAAAATGTTTATTTTTGATTTCTTTTTAATTCATCAGAAAATTAATTCTTCCTTTTTCACTTATCTTCTGCTTTTTAGAATAGATAACTGTTACGAGGGTCCTCCCCTTTTTCATATAAGTGGACTCGACCAGAGTGTTAATGGGACTGCTACCGTTAAATAGCCAGAGTCAGTCAGGGAGAGAGATATAGAGAGAATGGGAGGGACACCTCGGCGTGGTGTAATGGTTAGCAAGCTTGTCTCGCTAGATCAGTTACAACTGAAAAGTGAGTTCGATCCTCACTAGATACCCCATACTTTCGGCCTTGTGCCACATCTAAGCTACGCTTGGAAAATAACTATAGAGAGATTGGGAGAGTGAGCAGAGTTTGTGATTGAGATAGAGTAATTGTGTGAGGTAACCGCTTGTAGAAGTCAGTTACAAGCACGTAGACTCTAAGGAAGTCCTACTTCGAGACTATATATATATATATATATATATATATATATATTGCGACTAACCGCGTTCCTGGATTTCCTATCAGAATTACCCATTATATTTTTGTGTAAATACATTTAATTTCTTATATTTAATTCTTGCGTTTGTCATTCATTGGAGACCGAATTTCATCTCGGAATCCACAACAATAACAATTGACCTAAGACTTGAAAAAGTTAACATTATCGTAACCAGGGAATAATCCCATCAAGAGACCGTTCAACATTGCAACAATTCTGGAAAAAAGACTGAGTGTAACTTACTCCTCACCAATAACAAAACGTTAGAATGGTTAAACTGTAAAATAGAACTGAATTTTTAAAATCTTACCTTTGTCCTTTTGCACTTTTAAAATGATGTTACTTGATCCTTCGAAGCGATAAGAATAATAAAGATCACATCCGTCGTTATCAGGATAACGGCAAAACTCTTCTCCATCTGTCTCGGCTAGATGAGAAATAATATACATATATTTAATGTTCACACCAACATGCACAGGAAGATTTGGGTTCGTGCCTCTATGAAATAAAAAATTGAAACAGTTTTCCAAGTGAATAACTTTTATGCAGGCTTGCCCCTTTTCAAGGGTAACAAAAGATGTAAAAATTTTAACAGTTATTACTGAGTAAGAATTATGGGAGAGTGGTTCATTTACTCACACCCTTCTCTGCCATCTTCATAACCATTTTGCTCTTTTACCTATCAGTATACTAGATTTTACAAGTATACAAAGGAAATAACTAGTAATAAAGAAAACGATTGTGTAAGATTGATTTTCCAACGACAGAGAACTTCAAAATGGAGTTATATATATATATATATATATATATATATATATATATATATATATATATATATATATATATATATATATATATATATATATATATTTTATATATATATATATATATATATATATATATATATATATATATAATATGAAATGGACAAAATCCGACAATTATTTTAAGATATTTTTTATGTTTAAACATTCTTTATATAGATACAAATATATAAGTAAATGCTCTGTTTATAATAAACAGTATTAATAACATTTACCGGCCTGAATGTCCGAGAAATTTTCATAGAAAATATTCGTTCTCCGACAGGAATCGAACCTGTTTCAACACTCTCACCGAGGGTGTTGGAACAAAATGGCTATTTTTGTAGTGATTTTATAACATATTTATGTTATAACTTTTTTTTTAAATAATTATATATATATATTTATGTGTGTGTGTCCGTGTGAACTGGATACAGACATCTTCCTTTCATTCTTTCTTTTTTCTTTCTTTCATTTTCTTACTGAAACCAAGTAGCGTCTCTGATATATCATTTCCGTGTCTTCACTTGGTCAGAACGGAATAGTCCATTATTTATCAAATATTGACAAGGCGTAACGGCCGTGTGAACTAAGTAACTAGCGAAGTGAAGACAGGAAGAAACAGAATTAAAATAGATTTTTCCTTTTTAGTTTCATTTCCCATATTATTTTAAGTTTTTTTTTATTCATCTTTGATTTAATTTTAGTTCCATTATTACTTTTTATTTTATTTTCAATATATTTAAGATTTGTTTCTATATATTTAATAATTAACTGTTTTACTTACGGGACACCTCATCAACAACCTCTATACTTGAACATACTTGTGTAGTACAGGTTCCGTCTTCATTGAAGGCGCATATAGCACAGTCCTTTACTTCTAGACAGCGACCCTGACAAGACTGGCAAAAAAGAAAACAAAAAAACAAACTGGCATGATGCTTTAAGAATGGCAAGGATAAATTTTACAGAAAAAAATAGCCTCAACATATAATACATCTAAATATTTAATATAATCCTACTAATAGTTTTAGATGATTTATATATTTATTTAACTTAGATTTATATAGTATATCTTAGAATTTAATTGAGCGTACCCTGACGATCCGCGGAGGTGAAACCTAGGTAGGTTTGCCTGGCTCTTTAGGTTCATAGTTAGATTTGCTCTACTTAGTGTACTTTGTGTGTGCGTAAAATCATGTTTTTAACATTGGACCATCTAATTATTAATGTACACATGCACGCGCGCACACACTACAGCCCCTATATATATATATATATATATATATATATATATATATATATATATATAATTATTTATTTAAAAATATGATTCCAACTCGCGACATAAGAGGTCTCATGTTTCAATTCTTATGTCGCGAGTTGGAATCATATTTTTAAATAAATAATTATATTTATGCTCTACTTTTGTATCGAGCACTATTTTTTAAAAATAATAACAAAAATACTAAAGAACTTTGGATTATTTACCTAACCAGTTCTTTCCTATTTTCTATATATTTTCACACACACACACATATATATATATATATATATATATATGTATGTATGTATGTATGTATGTATGTATGCATGTATGTATGTATGTATAATTTATTTGTTTTTAAACATTATCTCCTTCATTTTCCGTTATTCAGAAGCATTGAAAAATATTAAATCGTGAGAATTACACATCAAAATTCACTTAACAACTGTGTGTATATATATATATATATGTGTGTGTGTGTGTGTGTGTGCATGTGTACATTAATAATTACATGGTCCAATGTTAAAAACATGATTTTACACACACACACACACACTCTATATATATATATATATATATATATATATATATATATATATATATATATATATATAACTTATTTGTTTTTAAACATTATCTCCTTTTATTGTAAATGCATTTGGCCCAAGGATTTTCCGTTATTCAGAAGAATCGAAAAATATTAAATCGTGAGAATTTCAGATCAAAATTCACTTAAGAACTGTGTCAGGCTCCAGACTTATTGATTCACCTACGAATAGATAGATAGATAGATAGATAGATAGATAGATAGATAGATAGATAGATAGATATTATAAAATCAGAAATAAAACAAATAAAAAAGTATAAATCAACTTACAGGACATATTTCACATGTTTGGCCCAAGAACTTTGGGTCCACATGGCAATCACACCGACCACATGAGCAATTTCCTTTCCCATTGCACTCAATCTGAAAAAAAAAATCAAGTCATTCAAAGTATTAAAACACAAAGAAAGAACAAGATAGATAGATAGATAGATAGGTAGATAGATAGATAGATACACACACATATATTGATAATACTAGTGGTCAATATATATGTGTGTGTGTGTGTGTGTGTGTGTGTGTGTGTGTGTGTGTGTGTGTGTGTGTGTGTGCACATAAATTCCCAAGAGGATAAAATCCAGGTAAAACTCAATGTCCAGAATAGAGTAAGAATATAATATAAAAGGCTCAAACACTAATATTCCATGGTTATAATTTATTACATTGGAATCGTAATTTTTTAATTTGTTGGTCTGATGATCGTGATTACGATTCCAATGTAATGAATTATAACCATGGAATATTAGTGTTTGAGCCTTTTTATATATATATATATATATATGTGTGTGTGTGTGTGTGTGTGTGTGTGTGTGCGTGCGTATGTATGTATTATTATTATTTTATTATCATTATTATTATTGTTGTTGTTGTTGGTTATTTAGTTTGTCAGTCAATAAATCATAATCGGGAAAATGTATTGTGACACGTTTCGTTCAGAAGGAAACGTCTTCGCACAATTAATCCTGAAATTTAACCTTCTACTTTTGTTTGCTTTCATATTTATCGTTATATTTTAATTAACTTGCATTAATATTAATTTTATCGAAAAATGAGTTATGTTTTATGATTTGCAAAGTAAGTTTACTATAGCGTACTCTGAGATTAGTACACTTTCAATACATTTTCACTTTAATATATCTTTAATCAGAATTACATTCTATTACAATAAACCACGAATTCATTGAATTTTTATTTTTTTATTTGAAAAACTTCGCTTATATTCGTTTATTCTTTTATTTAAATATTTAGATATCTCACCAAATGTGCATACGACCACATCACGTTTGAAACACCGATTCCTGTACGATCACCGAAGTTAAGCAACATCGAGCCTAGTAACTACCTAGATGGGTGATCGATTGGGAATACCAGGTGCTATAAGCTTGGATGTGTGGGTGGTGTAATGGATAATGGCTCGGAATTGTTAATCGAAGAGCCAATTTACGTTGGGTCAGTTATATTCACTTACGTGCAAATACCCTTGGAAAAGGTCTGAATCCACCTCTTCTCCCCCATCTACGGGTTAATTAGTAAGACTTGTATCACTGAACCATTATTTCCTCTAAAAAATATTCATACAATCGAAAATGTTTTCTGGCTTTAAATAACCTCCAAAGGGTTGATGAACCGTGAAAAACGAATCAATCAAAATCTTTTCAATAATACAAACGAGGACACATTTTTGTTAATTATTATTAACTTTCCAAGACAGAAAGAAAGCAAAGAGAATGTACGAAAAAAAAAGGCATTTATTCCCTCGAAAGGTAGAACTACCATGTCCTTTAACTGACTCACCCCGTTCGATGCAATACAGGTGTCCTTTGCCAGTGGACATTCACAAGCTTCTCCCCTGAAATCAGGACTGCAATGACATTTTCCTTTGGAACAATTCCCACGTGTTGCGCCTATAAAAAAAACAAATAGCGTTTAACATCATGAAAAAATTAGAAAAAGACAAAATCCCTTTTAACCGACGAGATAATCACCTACAGCTTTAACACGCTCGATTTTTCTTATGGTGATTTTGATCTTGTACAAAGCCCAGGAGCCACTCAAGGTAGAGGATTACAGAGTAAGAGGTAAAGTGTATGCAGAAGACAGTGGGAAACCCCAAACTTGAACATGCTATGATTATAATGATTGGGAAATTCGTGTGGGGGTCGGTTTCACAGAACAGTGGCTCGTTGGAAGAAGCTGCTCAAGTGGAAGTTACATCTCACCAATAGAATACGATAGAAAAGACGATGTTTCGCTACACTGAGCATAGCATGGCGGGCCTTAGGCGTAAATGGTAGAACTGGTGATACTAAAGAATATTGTTCGTCTAATTTGATAAGAAATCAAGCTAGATTATCTAGGATGATTATATGTCGTTAGTTTATTTTGGCTTTTTTTTTTTTAGGTATTTTCGATTTTTTGGTTTTTAGTTTTTAGTTTTTTTGGGGGATTTTTTTTTTTTTTTTTTTGCTTTTTTCTTATCTGTTACTTTTTGTTTTGTGTGTTTGTTTTTCGTTCCTTGGGGATCGTTACATAAAAATATGTTTCTCACCTCCGCACAACATATCGTCGGTTTTGAGACAAGAGAAATCGTCAAATTCACAGTATTTCCCATACCACCTCATCCCCATCGCGTTCGGGTGGCATTCACAGGCTCCACACACACATGTTCCGCGCCCTGAACAGCTTTTTGTGGAGCCTGGCCTGAAAATAAAGAACAAATATTCTTATAACATTTATATCGTCTAGAGTTTAATCAAAATGTCCACTTTCTCTCTTGGAACCATCAAACATTATTGTTACAGTTTTGGTCGGAGATACGATAGTTTGCTTTTGACATGCCAGAATCCTTTAGCATTAAACTGAGACATAGAATGATTAATAAAGGAATGATTAATAAAAGAATAATTAATAAAGAAATTATTAAGAAAAGTAATGATTAATAAAGGAATGATTAATAAGAATGATTAATCAAGTAATGATTAATAAAGGAATGATTAATAAAGAAAAGATTAATAAAAGAATGATTAATAGAGGAATGATTAATAAAGGAATTTTGAGAAAAGGAGGTGTTAATAAAAAGTAAAAAGGCAATGATTAATTAAGGAATGATTAATAAAGGAATGAGTATTAAAGGAATAATTAAAAACGGAATGATTAATAAAGAAATGAGTAATAAAAGAAATGATTAAAAAGATATAACTAATAAAGGAATGAGTAAGAAAGGAATGATTAAAAAATGTAATTAATAAAGGAATGATTAATAAATGAATGATTAATAAGCAAATGATTAATAATGGAATGATTATTAAACGAATGATTATTAAAAGACTGATTAATAAAGGAATGATTAATAGGTTATTATTCTATTAATAAAATATGCTACCGACATAGAAAATTGATTGAAAATGTTTCCCTCTACCCTGTGAAAGAAATTGTTATTTTAAGTAAATAATGGAACGTGTAATAATTTCTCTCTTTTTATCTTTGGTAACCAAAATATATCTAAACTTAGGTGAGCCTTGTGAGTCAATGGAAGAACCGATTCATTTTGGATTGGAACTAAACACAGAGAAATCTAAAGTAATGGTGAATAGCACAAGCAACATTAGTGCTAGCGTCCCCATGAACGGAGAACCCACTGGAGGGAGAGTTCAGCTTCAAATATTTGTGAACAACCCTGTCGAAAGATGGCGTCTACAACGCAGAAATCAACACGCAGACCGCAACATCCACGGCAGCAGTGGCCAGACTGGAATTGACATAGATCAGCAACATCATCTTACAAACCAAGTTAAGCCTTTACAAATCACTGGCTGTATTATCTTCTAAGGGTCTAAAACTTGGGCACTCTTAATTGTGCCAGGAAAAAGAACACACACATTCGAGAACAAATGCTTGAGAAAGTTCCACCGCGTCTTCTACCGGGAGTACAAAACGAATTATTATGTATGGAGCAAGGTGAAAAGATTTGTGGGCCGACAGAAATCTACCTTCGCCGCTATTAAGCGTCGGAAGATGGTATGGTTTGGCCAGGTCACACGGTATACAGCCACTGCAAGACCATCAAGCAAGGCACTGTTTATAACGGACGCAAGTGGTAACGGCAACGCAAGAGCTGGTCAGACAACATCAAAGAGTGACCGGACATGACAATGCCGGAACTCTTGAGAGCCACCGCCAAGAGACCATCCTGAAGGAGGTTGTTTGTTTCATCTGCTCTTAGATACCTCCAACAATTGAAACAGTCAAGTGACTGATGATGATGATGATAAGTCTTGAACAATGTAACAATAATGGCTTACTTTTTACAACGGAAAAGTGGTGATCTCTTGTAACGGTAATGGTTTAGCACTTGTAAAGTAAAGGGTTTACCATTTGTAACTGTGATAGGATTACCAATTGTAACGGAAAAGGGTTACCACTTATGACGGAAAGGGGTTACCCCTTATGACGGAAAGGGGTTACCACTTGTGACGGAAAGCTATTACTGCTTTTAAAGATAATGGTTTACTGCATTTAACGGGCACGGATTATCGTTTTTAACGGTAATCAAATGGGATTACCGAGTGTAACTACATTCGCTTGAATATTTCATCATTTTCAATATTAGTGAATTGAAGGCATGCAAGGATATGCCACCTGCACTTCAAACATTTCAACAGTTTAAAATGTAGGAGGTGTTTCTGTCGCAACATAGACAGATAATAGATAGATAGATAGATAGCTAGATAGATAGATAGATAGATAGATAGATAGATATCAATAGACTGAGATAGATAGATGTGAATAGACTAAGATAGATATGAACATATTGAAATAGATATGAAAATATTGAAATAGATAGATAGATATTTATGAATAAAAATGACAATAGGAAAACTAGTAATTGCTGACGTGTTTCGTCCAATGTGGACTTTATCAAATCAAAATTTCATTTTCGTATTTTGCTTTGATAAAGTCCACATTGGACGAAACGCGTCAGCAATTACTAGTTTTCCTATTGTCATTTTTATTCATAAATATTGTCTTCTCTACTGGTTAAATCGGAGAAATTTTCATAGATAGATATGAAAATAGTGATAGATAGATAGATAGATATATAGATAGATAGATAGATAGATAGATAGATGTAACGTATCTCAGAAAATGAGAGTAAAATCCATTTTCCAACAATACTGTCAATGAGACATTGACTGACTATATGTTTCTTTGAGAAACGTGTATGAACATTATTAAGGCACAGGTTTATAGCAGTTTTATCTCGTTTGTTGAAGTGTGATATTTTCTTGTATTTAACAGTTAGATACTTGATAAGTTGTAGTGGAATATTGTTTTGTATGCGATGTGCCACGTGATTCAGCTGGAGCCTAGAAGTCAACTCAGTGAGGAAACGAGACACATCTTGCCACTACGATATCATATGACTGAAGAACAGAGCGAATTTGAATTCTTTCCTTTTATATTGCTTTATACAACGCCACCTAATGAGTTTTAAGAGAAGTCCCCTGGCAGACAAGTGAAGTGATTCCACACCAATATCACAAGAGTAAACTACTGTGTATTTCATATAGTCAAAGATTCATTCTAAATTTCATATAATCAAAGATTATTATGATGACAGCCATGCAGACTGTCATCATCTTTGATGACATATAGTCAAAATGTCATCGTCTATTCAAACATATATTTTTCAGTTTTTATCTCATACTTTGAGATATGTTAATACTAAAACTGTTATTTACTAAGCTTACCTCCAGACGACATAAAAGTAAAAAAAGAGTTAAAATAGCAATTAAAAGATTGTTTTGTGCCAACGTTGGTCATGGATGGCGTGATAAAAGGACGTCTCTCATACTCGCTAATACGACGTGATTAAATGAAAAAAAAGCATAACAAAAATCGTGTGACCAGGTAAGAAGACGTCTTGAGTCACGTTGCCAGCTAAGTACACCTCACTTCGATAATAATTTGGCCATCAAACATATATAAAGTAGCCAATAAGCATACTTTCTAAAAGAAATATTTCGAATTGGTTAGACGATGAAGAATATAGAATGCATTTTATTTGTTAGACGTGTCTTTCTTTATGTTTTATGATGATTTTCTAAGCATAGCTGTGATGTGACCCAGTGCCGAATGTATTATTGCATATCTTCTCTCCCGTGCTTTAGGGGCGGGGGGGTGCAACGTCGCCAATTTCTCGTCTTCTCCTGGTCAGTGATCGGTAGTCGTTTTGGTTCAGAGATAAAATGACTTCAACAAAGGGAATTTTAACTTAACTATTTTATTAAACACGTTGACGTGTACATTTCTAAACTAACAAATCATTTTGCTCTCCTCCTCCACCTGGTAGCAGTTTCCAGAGACAAAAGAAACTCGT